CAAGTTGGCAACAATGAATTTTAAATCATATCATTACAAATGTGTTTTAGAATATCTGGTTGAAGTCTTTGATGGTTTTTTTTGCACAGCCCATAAAATATTTGCAAACAGAATTTTTCGTTGGTGTTTTTGTTCCATATGCTCCAACATTTAAGAAAAGCAACCCTTAGCGTGGAAACACCCACAATCTGTCATGATCGGTCAGATTGTAAGAGATTTGTGACATAATAGGCCATCCAAGAATGGTAACTCTAGACTGATATTGTAAAGCACTGTGTCCAGTGCTATCGAGTGGAAATATCCTATGCCATCTGTGAGTCACAGATCTTTATTTGTCAACAACTGCATAATGTGAACACGTTAAAACTTGCCATTTCATCAAAAATGTTGACAAATTCTGTTGCAGGAAAATGAAGCTCAAATATTAACCAAACAGTAATATATGTTGGTCTACATATAGTACAAAACCTAACAGTGCCAGCCACGTTGAGGAACACAATAAAAACCAGGTTATTAACAGAAAATGAAATGCTGAATGTAACCCCCTGTATTTGTTCCCCACGATTGCAGAAATGCTCTATAGCTAGCTCTGTGCTTGCTCTGAACAATGACCCGCTGGCGATATTCTCTGGTATGAACAGGACTGAATATTTAGTCCATAAAATCCCCTGAAAGTTGCAGTCTTAAAATTTGATGAAAACACTGAGCTCAGGCCAGGTCTGCTTTTTGATGTGTTTGTGCAGAAAGGTACATGGAAATCAAGGTTCTTATGAGAAGATGGATGTCATGGTGCGGACTTTTTTATTTGTTGTAAAGAATCATCTTTGGACAAAATTACAATATAAATCCCTACAGTAGAGTGAAAAGCTGAAGACGCCAACCAATTGGCAGAATTTTTGTTTGTTCAACATGCAAATATCAGATTAGTATCAAACAAACGGTCTTATCATCTTCCCTTAAGCAATATGAGAGCAAAAACACATAATGCTCTTATCGTCTAAACTGAAACCGGGACATCAGTGGATTCAGGGAGGGGACTATGGGGCCGAGATTCCCCTCCCCCCGGAAAAAAATGAAGAAAAATATTTTCAGGGCTACTTCCCTTCCTCCCTATCCAGATCAGCCTTGAGCAGAAGTGCCCCCTTAATGGTTGAAAAGAGCCATATTGGCTGGCAGTGTTGATTTGGTCGGTATAGCAATGCCACCGTAGTGCATGCATTTCCTCGTCTTTCATAAACTAGCGAAGTTCAGTTCCGACTAAAGGAGCCTGATTGCTAAGAAAATTGTGCCCTCTTTGGTCCAGCTCGGGGCTCTAGCATGTCAATAACCACAAAAGTCAGCATCACCAGTGAGCAAGGCTATAAAAAGTCAAATTTGTGGTTCCACCTTCACCATCCAATTTGGTTTTGCTCATTCATGGGGGAAGTGCCATTGCTTTGATGACAAACTGAAATTAAAATTTATCCACGCCTCGCAGCTTTTATACAGTCCTAGTTTTGGTCCTCCCCTTGTGAACAATAAAAAATAAATAAAGTAAAATGGACAACCAAAAGTGAATCAGTTTCACTTCAGGGCTTTTGGGGAATTATTTTCCATGGACATACTGTTTAAGGACAGCAGTCAGTATGGTGCATACATGTATGTGATAGTCTTAAAGCAATGTACATGTAATATGGGTGAATGGTTTTTATCAATTTTACATTTTATAGACAGCTAGGGAGAGGGCTTATTTCTGTGGTTGACAACACCAGGCCCCTTTAAAGTAAGAGAAGTTCATGGTAATGCTGGGCGCACTGGGCGAACCAATCACACTAGTCTGCCTGCGTGGCAAACATGCGACGAGCCAAAAATACGAGTGGATGAACGATCATCAACTCTGGGTAGGAACACATACAAAGTCGCTGGGCATCTGCTGCATCAGTCACTTTGCCACAGCTTATCAAAAAACAAACTAATTTTGTTATACACGAAGCAAGTTTTGTTCATGGGCAACACTGCTTGACTAGAGTTCAGATTATGCCCATATGGCCAGGGGGCACACATCTATCCTTTCCGGAAATCTGGCAATTCCAGTCAGCATTTTCTTGAGCAGTTCCGTCCATGACACTCTCAAATTGTAATCTGATTTAGAGCTATAACATCGGAAATTGTCTGAAATGGGTGCTGAACACGGGTATGAACAGGTGGAACAATCTGCAATCTCAACTAATGCCAGGCAATGTCTGGCTCCCCTGCCATGCCTAGCTTTTTAAGTTCTAACATCCACTGGGAGTGACATTTTTTCTAGCATCCAGTTTTATATCAAAGCATTCATTTTTCTGGCCAATGGGCTGGTGATGACTTATTAAATAACAAAAATATCAGAAGGATTTGTCATGCTGAGCCAAATCGAATAATATTTAAGAGGGTGCAATTAAGTACGAAAAGATGGACTCAAAAATGGTACGGCCCAAAAAACTTAAGTATGTAACGTTGGCTGTATTTGACTATTGATTATTCCGTCAGCATCAAATGGCCACCCTGATCTATGTTAATTTATGCAACATCCACTCTAGAGCAAGAGTCATGGCAAAGTAATTACACAGAGCAAGAAGTCTGCTTCTGCATTACACGGCAGTGAATTAAGGGTATGTAGGGCCTACAAGTAGAACAAATTTCATTTTGCACTATGTTATATTGATTTGGTGTGCAGCTACGCATAAGAGTTTACTGATCCAAAATAACAACAGCGGCAGAGATCGCTGGCATTATAAAGGGTGCTTTGTGTACATGTAGCTACATGTGTATATGCATGAGGCCAGCATCTTTTCATTTTCTGGAAATTGGCACGGTCTGAGGGCAAAAAAGAAGGAAATAAAACCCTAAAGTTCCACTTTGCCCTTACAATTGACTCTCCAGGATAGGAGGAAAACTGTTTGAATTTAGCTCATATTTTTATTGAAACACTAAAAAAGTGCCTTCGGGAACAAAACAAAATTAATTTATTTTTTTTAATTTTTTTAAAAATGGCACTACTCTGCGTCAGTGGGTTCGTCATCTACAACAATAAAAGCTGGCCTAAATAGGTTTGTTGACACTTTCTTGTGCCCCACTCAAAATAACTGACACCGCTTTCCTTCTTTCTCCGTTTCCAATTTTATAGTCCCAAAACCACCACAGAATCTTAATTTGCCTGTTCAAATTGACAAACAAACAAAATCTGCCAAATGGCTGGCAGATGTACACGTACTGATCACTGCTCATAAATAAAGCACTGCTGAAGAAAATTCAATTGATAACAGGTGTCCAGCATTCTGTGTACATGTACATGAAAATTGCTGATTCCAGAATAGCGTGGATGCACATCACAGTCGATTTCCCCCATCCCATCCTCAGACTGACATGTCTCCTTTTACATAAGCACTCTGTGGCAATGGTGCTTGTGAGCAGTTTATATGTAGTGGGCATCCACAGAAACGCATACCTGTACAGAATGAATGGCATGTTTGGGAAAACGATATGACATGGTTTGAGGGTGGATTGTCCATGTTAGCTCCCCTAGATTACAGGTTATTCTATAAAATTGGGATCCAAAAGTATGGCATTTTTTGTGTCCCTGTTACACCTGATGTGTATAATTATATGATTTAGAAATATTACTGGAATTGAATTGCATTACTTAATTTCTCTTGGAACTAAAACAAAATGTGTTCTAAACTTTAACAAAATCGCACAACAGATGTGACAGGGACATGAAATACAGGACCCCAAATTCATAGAATGACCTTCTTGAAAGTAAGCAAACTAGTTTCCTCGGTAAAGGCCAATGGTAAACAGCAAATACAACAACTTGTACCAAATGATCAAGAAACGGACCACTAAAAGTTCAGCTCTCAATCATGAAATGTACCATGTATGGTAAATTAACGATAAACTGACTGTCTGGGGAGATCCAACAAATCGCGACTAAAAGTCACGTTTTCGATTACTTTGTTTCAGTGTACATACTTTACAAAGGGCAAAGATCTTTGTTTTATATGTCACACGGGCCTGTGTTCAATGTACATTTCGGGTGAAAAATGTTGCTGGTATCCAAGGATTCTGTTAAAAGCCTTTGACACATAGGTGGCTTTCATGAACTATAGAGCTTGGGTCAGGTCACATGTTGGTACACATATTCACCTACATTTTTGTACAAATCCCAAACTTCTTATAGCCTTCTGTGCTGATGACGTGTCACAGAGCTTACCGCAGTGCGAGGGATAGTGTGGCGGTCATTGGTATGGTGCACACAGCTGTCACATACCATGTTTTGGGGTTTGTCCATCACAAGGAAGTGAAAGGTGAAATCTTACCCTTTCCAGTTACGGCAGATAATTTCCTGGAAAATCTAAAATGATGGTTACAAAGAAACTACATGCAAACAGAGATGCCAGTAATCATGCTCATAACATGTCAGCAGTATATGGCGTACACGCACCGATGCCCCCTATTACGTCATGTGCTGTGCTAAACACTAGCTGTGATACATCATCAGTACATGGGGCTATCATCAGCAACACCAAAAGATCGGCAATGTTCATATTCAATCAAGTAAAATCTGGTCATCGATGTGCAGAACCTTGTATAGAGAGAGTATATAATGACATGACATAAGTGTCACCATTGCAAGAGACAAATTGGAACATGTCTGTACCTGTGCGCACATACTGTAATAACCAGCCATTTTGTTTCCAAAATCTGACGTTCATTTGCGCGACTGTCTCATCTATAGAAGAGTCATGTGATTTTCGACGGTCAGCTTTCAATAATACACAGATGTGCATGGACACGCGCATGTATTAAGGTTTATCAACATTATGGCATACATGAAATTGGCAATAGAAATACACAGATTCGAAAATGCATGCACCACAGACATGGTACGCTTCCTGAAATGCTTTTGCCTGTCATGTTACATTATGTCACGTGAAAAACGTCTATACAGCTCTGCTGATGAGCAGCCAGCCTTATAAACTTACGACAATCTTCTTGGCACCCCGGCCAATCTTCTCGGGCAGCTTGAGGTTGGCTGAGACCATCATGGCCTCCATGACACTGAGGTGGGGCAGGAGTTGGCAGTCCTGCATGATGTAGCAGGACATCTTGCGGAACTGGCCCAGGTTGCGTGCCTGGCCGTTCACCAGGAACGTGCCCTTCATGGACTGGGTTCTGGCCGAATCCGAAAGCATACAAAGGTGTTAATTTTCACGCGAGTCCAAGTGGAAGTGTATGGCTACCATTTTGATGATGTGTTGAAGAATCATCCTAAACCATGATTTTAGCCAATTTGAGATTTTGGGATACTTCTGAAATATTTAATGCGATGTCCTCTATAAATACAAAATTTTGAGACACAAAATTACATTGCTTGTTAAAAACATCGATTCCATAAAGCAACTGGGTATACTAGTAGCCACCTGTACAAATGGCATCTAGTGACAAAAAAAGAAAAGATTAAAAAATGTTTCACTGGGGAAATTCTAATAAAATGAGACCACAGGTAATGCTATTATAGATTTCCCATTTATGCCAAAAGGCTGTTGGAGTGCATTGGTACTTGACAGGATTGGCTATGTGAATTTTTCCGTTGATTCTTCAGGTTGGGTTCAATTTCACAGGTACCCGGCTACCTATTCAACAAGGCGACTTACTCCCGTCCTACATGTACCTGGTTGTAAATGCTCACCTCAACATCTTGAATATATTAATTACTACAAAATGAACGGGTGAAAATGCAAGTGATTTTCATCTAGTAAAGACTTTTCTATTGTGGCTGCCTTTGGCCACCTCTGGCTGCGCTATTGGCCACTGGTCACTAACTATACGGCTGCTGAAGTAATGAAGAGCACGTACTTGTATCCAGCTAAGGCATTCATGAAGGAGGACTTGCCCGCCCCGGAGGGCCCCATGATGGCAATCAGTTCCCCTGGTAAGAAACGACCCGAAAGACCCTTCAGGATGGTCTTGTTGCCTGCTGGATGAGACAACATGAGTTAGAGGAAAGTGATTACTCTGTGTATGCTGACCAGAAAATGTCAAGAAATAAGTCTCCTAGCTGTGACAGAAAACATTTGTGAGTCATTTTGAAAAAGAAGCACGATGCTGAAAGTTGACAGTGCTGTGTTGAAAATGAGCTGTGCTATGAGAAATGTGGATGGAAAAAACTGATATTACAGTCTGGATATCTTCAGAGTTAAAACTTTCATCCTTTTATAACTGCACATGTAACAAGATATAAAGGTACAAGAAAACTGTGAATGAACCAAAATTTCAAACAGCGTGACAGTCAGGGTTGATTGACACATTTTTTGAGATATCACAACAACTTCAATTGCCAAATGTCCTCCAAACGCCATGAACGGTACGTTGACTTTTCTACCATATATTTGAGAGTATTAAACAGATGCTAAAGTTTGTCATCACAACTAAAGAAAATGGTTTGGAGTCCATGTTGAGGCAACTTTCCACAGACGCGTTTTCACTGTGTATTGAAGCTGCATGTGTAAGTTGTACAGTGTCAATTTAGATGTACATGTGTGGGAATGAAATGTGCTGAAAGGATGCATATGCAGAACAGACTATATGCTATAAGAAGGCACATATAGTCAAACCAGTGTTATACTGTGCTGGAAATTTCAAAATGCAAGGAAACACTCATAGCAGTCACTGTAAAAATGCTGGGCAATTTTTTTCCAACATTGGGTACCAAGAGAAATGCTAAGTGTTTGGCAAAACGATCAAAATGCTGGGTAAAAAAGTGGTGACGCCAATAACATTTTCTACAACCGTTGGGTAAAATGAGACAAGTTTGCCAATATTTCAGGAGAGAATCAATGTGGTTGGGTAATATCTTTTGGCCCAACAGTTAGGTGATTCACCTGGTACCCAACGTTGCGCCAAAAAATGCCCAGCATGTTTTACAGTGATAAGTTACTTTGATGGATATTTATATCCCATTCAAAATGGCGTCCTGCTGTCAAACTAAGCATGAATTGACTAAATGATCCATATACTCTGTTCTTCTGCTTTGGAGAAGAGTATTGTATAGAAAATGAATTAGCATTATCACTGTGTCTATGTGTATGGCTGTATAAAAGCAAGCTTGTTGATCTTTGAATCAACCGATGTTTGTGCATGTAGATTCTGCCTCTGGGGTTGTTCCATGACGGCATTCTCTCACCTTTCCCTCGTCTGCATGACCACACACTCCCCTCCCTGACCGTGTAAGTGATGTTGCTGAACTCAATGTGGACGGCCTGCCGCGTGGGCAGGTGGGACAGCTTCTGCGCCTCATAGGTTCGGTTCTGTACCTTCTTGAGGTGTCCTGCATGCCAGTAGGCTCGCTCTGTGTCCAGGTCTGCGATGGAAAATGGGAAGTAGAAATAATGAGACGCTGTTGATTTTATAAAAGAAATACTGTGATATATTCAGGTGCGGATAGAATACATTGTTCTCACCATGGGGGCCCATACCAAGTTTGGCAAAGTGCATAGTTTTAATGGACTTGGAATAAGGGCCTACTTGAAAATGCACTTTTGAGTCTGATTGAATCAGGTTTTTTTTAATTTTTGTTTTATCATTCAAGTGGTATTTTACAGCACTCTATAGGTCTAACGAGCTTATCTGTGATTTCATTTTGGGCAGTAACCTCGAGGTTAGCCCCGCATTGAAAGCTCCTGGAATTGTGAACGTTCTGCTCTCATAATTTGTCTTCTCTGTCAGCTGAACTGTTCCAATCCATCTATCGCCTCATGAAATTATTCTCATCATTACACTCTAAAGCATCCATTAGGAGAATGAATTAAGTACTGATGATGTCCAAGCCGAGGACCAGCAAAGCTAATGTTTATTCCCTTATTCTATTAGTGAAAACTCAATTATTAGCGGAATATCTGACCTACCTATCCTAATTCATCTTCCGCACAGAATATGTAATATATTCAAGGGTGAAACCATTGAATATCTCTGTGTAATTTTGCATGCCCTTTCTGAGGGGTGAGGCAAAATTTTTAAGGATTATTATATGCTTCTGGAAATGGACTACCTGTTTTTTCCCAAAAATTGCCCTTTTCTAGTTTTCAAAAACAAAGCGAACATATGCTTTTTGTTGACAGTTTATGTTGAACTGTTATGTGTGCTCCCCTTTGCACTCCACCGTATTTCATTGTCAATTCTGTATCTGTAATATCCTTTAAATGTAAAAATGCCTAAATAAATTTTGCTATTATTGAAATTTGGCCCCTCCCCATTTCATTTTTTTTGGGGGGTGGAGCACATGGCTCCTCAGTGGCCCCCTCCTGGAACTACTTATAATGTACTGTCTATGTACCAACCTGTACTTGTTTTTATTTCAGATGAAGGGTTTATTTCCTTATTTCAGTGTCTCCAACTGCGAGTTGGCACCAAATAATTTAAACCACTTGGGCATTATGTACCTCAACACTGCATCATCAACATCCTCTACACTTCTGAATATCGCACCGTGCACCCTAAATGTCACGGCCACTGACCTGGGAGAATGATCCCACCTTACGCCACATTACAGCTCTTCTTGCCAGCTTAAGTACAGTTTGCATAATGCCATGGAAACACTCAGCATGTCTACTCTGTGACACATGTATATCCACATCCTCAATTAAACATTCACTTGTTTTCTTTGTGTGTGTGAATATGTAAGGCATAACTAGGTATTGGCAATGCAGAGGCAGATCGGGAGGGGGACGTACAACCCCCCTTGTTAAGCCGTGGACTAAATGGAACTACCATGACGGAAAATGAGTACCAAAATAAAATCCTTGACTGGGCTTGTGCCGTCCATCTATCCATCTCTAATCACATTTTCTTTTCATCAGAGAACGGTGCATGATGCTTTTTGGCCCCTATCCCTTCAGTACCCATCAACCCTCCCATTTCCTGAGAGCTAGAGATCTGCCCCTACAATGTGAGAACAATTTATTTTGTTTGGAAGGTTGCGACCGAGTTGCGGAACCAAAGAATTTTGTCCTATTTCTTCCCCAAAGTATTGGTGTGTCAATTATGGAACAAGTACGTGTATGTACATTACGTTACAAGTACTAACACATGAATTCTAAGTTAGCATACAGTTCAATTGAGATGTTAAATACATGAACACTTAATAACTCAGCAACATCAGCAAACTGCTTCCAAACTTGAGTGGCCTGAAATATTCACAGTTGAGATTATTAAGACATAAACTTGGTAAGAAGTTTTGTACAAAAAAAGCTCGGTATCCTCAACATTCTGCCATCTTCCTACTCAAACTTACGCTTTATTTCACACTCCCAATACATAAACTGCCTTTGTTCCAGAACTCTCAGGTTAAATACATACATGTTACAGACTGTCCTCTCATGTTAAATACATGTGAACTTAATAACTTAGCAACATCGCCAAACTGCTTCTCAACTAGAGTGACCTCAAACATTCAAGGTTGAAATTATTCAGACATCAATTTGGTCAGAGGTTCTGTACCAAAAGAAGCTCTGTATCCTTAACATTCTGCCACCTTTCGACTGAAACTCATGCTTTATTTCACACTCCTAATACATAATCTGCCTATGTTCCAGAACTTTATGTCAACCCACAGCAAGGATGGGTCCTGAACCCTGTTTTCTTGAGGGGATGAAACTGGTTTTTTTTCTTTCCTTTTTTGGGGGGGTTCAAAGTATTCCTTTCTGGCTTTTCTGAGGGGTGATGAGGCAAAGTTTGGGGCTTTTTAATACATTCTGTTGGAAGTAGGGAAATGAAACAGTCCACATGATTGTCTTCCTCCGAATATGTTTCAAAAACAAAAATAGAAATGTGGCTCCAAGAAGGGCGTGGCTCCCATGGTCTCTCCAATGCCTTCACCTGGCAGGCAAAGTCACTTTATCAGTTTAAATCCCTTCTAAGTCGATTAATATTTATTTTCATGGCTTGTCTTAACGTGACACCCCGTTTTAGACTTCTCATTATGTAAGCTCTTAATTTTAATACCTGCTTCAAACATATCTTAACATTTAAATTTTTTTTATCCTTTTACTTTGTTGTCTGACTGGTTTTTATGTTTTGATAGTATTGTTGATTTGATTGATTTATTATTTTTTAAACTTGTACCTGCATTTATTCGACCAATCTCTTTTGAGTACATTTACTTGTCCTGGTATCCTCACCAGCTTATCCTCATATTCTTTGAATTGTATTTGTCATTCGCTGTGCTAATTGCTTGTCCTGTCTTGCCTCTACACACTTTTGAGGACATTTTTACAAGATGTGTTTAACAAGATGTACATGTCATGTCTTAACCTTTATTTTACACATTTTGTTCATACTATGTGGATTGGTTTTTTATTTCAATTTTTGTTGTGTCGGTGACAATTTTTCTTTGGACTTAATAAGGGAATAAATATATACTTGGTCGGTATTAAGGGAATGGACATGACTAATGCCTGAGCGGCAGGCGAGGGCACTGTCAGCATTCATTCTCCTGAACCATTAGCTTCAGACCAATCAAACACATACATGTACATGTATTTATTCCCTTGCATTAGAGAGTCAAAGAACACACAAATAATTTACAAGGATTTTATTCAAGAATTTTGCTTTCATTTTCCCAAACGCCGCCCGATTTTTGGTATATTCTCCTTATTTTACATGTACTTATTAATGGTATAAAAAAGGATATACATGTACATGTATTGTAGTGGAAACTGACAAAAAATACTGATGCATTGTCACAGAGCGGCTCATACTTTGCTAATGTCTGGAAGTCAGTTTCTTTTCACTGCAATTTGGCTTTTTCTTACATGTTAGGTGTAATCTCTTCCTTAAACCTAACCCACCTCAATCCTCGGGTGGTTTTGGAGGATTTTGGAGGATCGAGGATGATTGATGATTTGAACATTGGAGGATTTTGGACTTGGAGGATTGAGGATGAATGCTGATTTAAAAGCTGGAGGATTTTGGAGAATTGAGGATTCAGGTACCTTTTATTTTGTGCATAAGCCCAAAAACTGGAGGATTTTGGAGGATTGAGATGAATGCAGTGTTTTGAAGTTGGGCAATTGGAGGATTTTGGAGGATTGAGGATATGCCCAAGTAAGAAGGCCCTAGTTGTTTAGGTTAATTAGCTTTGCTCTCAATCTGTGCAGGGAGTCATGCACGTGGGTAATAAATATACATGTACTTTTATATTACCTTCTCCACATAAACTTATCGCGCTATTTGTTTTTCTGAATTGTGACTCCTGAAATTGCATATTTTCATGATCTTTTTTCTTTTCTGACCCTGGCCTATTTTCCTTTGACCTAGCTTAGCATTTTGATTAGTTTTTTTTTCCAAAATGGTTAGCTTAACCCTGACATCTGATTTCATTTTTCATTCTATTTTTTGTACTTGAATGTTTATCAAATAACAATGACAATACATGCAAATGATGAGGCGCCGCTATGTAAGACTGCAGGCGCTATCATGCATAGGACAAGTATGCACAAAACTGTTGTCTATTTTTGGTATCTTCATTTGGCTAATTAACTGGGCAGGAGCCTGATTATGCATCACCATGGAAACAGTATAATTAATCTTTTCTGTACTTGAAGATATTAAACCTTCCTTTATTTATGCATGGGGAGCTGGTCATCATCACTACATAAAGGCATTATGGCTAGGCAGTGGCTAGTCCTATCTGATGGAGTGTGTCCTTGGGCAAGACAGTTAGCAGCAAGGAATGTGAATAGGCCAGGTGTTGGTCAGCAATCAACCTCTAATGTGTATGATTGTCACAATGAAGCATTTTACTGTATTCACCAAAGGAAAAATAATTACGTAGTCTAAATGAATCAAAGCTGATCTGGGGTGGGTCCAGAATTTTCCAAAAGAGGGGGCATGACCTAAAAATGGTAGGGTCACGGCCATAAAATTAGGGAAGCAGAAGCAGAGCTGTTGTTTTTTATACACCTTTGTCACATTTATGGGGTTGGGTCTCTCCCTCTTCTTTTTTCTTTCTCCCCCCTCTTTTGTTCTTCACCCTCCCTATTTTTCTGCTCTTTTGGCTATTTATTTATTTTGGGGGGTGAAAAAATGGGGGTGCATTCCCCTCCCCAGGATCCATCCCCGCTGATGCTTTTATTATGCAAAAGCACCACAATAATTTGGGGTGTATGATGCAAGCTTTCTTGAGGTTCACCCAAGTGTGCATTAAATTTGGGCATATACATGTAAGAAAACCCATAGATTGATAGTGACACTTATAGTGTATGTCATATATGACTATAATGATATATATAAGCATAATAGTACCATAGTAATGGCTTCTAATAGACGTATAACATGACACCACACTTTGCTTCCACATGGAGC